TATAATCTTCAGTGACCATGAAAGCCAAGTACAAATTAAAAACAGCCCTCCACTGGCAAGTAGAGGTATCTCAAAATGAATGAAAAATTCTTAGAAGGGATGTGTAACAATCAAACAATTTACAAAACAAACATTTTGAATTATATTTTACATGCCTTCTAAATGAAAATGAGGCAAATGGTGAGATGAATGCTTAACAATAATTGAAGCAAAAGTTGAAAATTTTTATTTAGCACAAAGACACACATAATTCGTAAGTTTAATGTAAAACTTTTCCACTTTTCAGAAAACTAAAAAAAAATTAGTGAGGCATTTGCCTCACTTGCCTCAGTGGTAGTTACGGCCTTGAAGTTGCCCTGTAAAACAACATTAACAACGCCACAATATTAGTCCAAGGTTCCAAAGGAACATGAGATAAATCTCTCCCTCTCTCTGTCTCTCAGCTCATCATTAGAAGCTTAGAGGCTGTTGCCAACTTTTCAATGCAACAATTTTAAATACATATGTACTAGAACTTTTTAGCATCTAATAAATATATACTTTCCTGTAGTTTCACAGACCAGAAAATCCGGACAGTGCCTTGGCCAGAGCAGTAGAGCTGATTATAAATGACGTCTTTCCTCAATATTTTACGTATTCCTACGATCTGATAAACGTCATGAGAGTAGCGAAGACGCTCAGATTTCCAACCTACGGCAAATGGATGCAGGTTACATATTTAGTTTTTGTTCATTTGTCGGTGGTTAATTTTAAAGCTCATTTTAACATTGATTTCCATTTTACTAGTATTCTTCTGCGTCCGCAATCGAAGATTCGGGGAAATATATAGTTTTTGTCCTGTTCATCCGTCTGTCTGTCTGTTTCTCCGCAAAAACTTAAACATTACCCAAATCTTTTGAGTGGGTGGGGCTATGGCATTCATTATTTCACAGGTGTATTTCTTGTGACAAAACCCTTATTTGGGTACCACCAAATTTGACCTCTTAGATCTTGACCTTGTAGTTTGACCCACTTTCACAAAAAATCACCACACTTTAACCCTGGCCAGTACCTTTGAACAGTTGGTACTGGGGCTTTCATACTTCACAAATGTATTCATTATAAGACCTTTCAGTGGGGTTTAAATATTTTTTACCTTTTGACCTTGATCTAAGAGTTTTACCCACTTTTCAAAAATTTTAACTTCGGTCATAACTTTTGAACAGTTAGGAGTAGGGCTTTCATATTTTGTTAATTTTTTAATTATTTACTTGCAGGGCATTTTAGCAAGTGACAAAAGCAGTGAAAAGGGATTCTGGATTTTGCATAATAATTTTCTTTTTCCGGCGTTTAGTAATCGTCAATTACAGTCGCCGACCTCTTATTCCTGGAAAAGCGCAACCATTGGAGACAGCAGTGAAGATCTCTTCTACGTGTGTATGTCACTAGGTATGTCTGTCTGTGAGATTCGTGAATCCTGTTGTCTCGGTGTTGTGGGAGACTATGTCACCAATACGTGAATACCCTCCTGTAATTACTCTCATCACAGTACACAGTGGTTCGTCATAATACATGTATATTATTTTGTGCTTATACTTAAATTTTTGACCTAAAATAAAAGTAGTTTATTAAGGAATGAAGCTTATTTCAACTTATATTATACGATATAACATAACTTGGGGCAGTTTACGCTTTATAAACCGTGAAGCGGTTTATAAAAAAGCGTAAACTGCCCCAAGTTTTGTTATATCGTATAATATAAGTTGAAATAAGCTTCATTCCTTATAATTTAATTTCAATGCAGACAATGAGACAATTTTCCCCCAGAATAAGGCTTTACATTGATTAAATTTTAAAAGTAACGTCAAGCGGAGTAATACGTTTTTTGACGTAACTCATTGTGACGTAGGCAAGTTATGTTATACAAAATGAATAAAATCTTTTATCCAATCAAATGACATGTTACAAATGAAATTAAATTATTAGCGTAGGGAAGAAAAAAGGATCAAATTGATCGTTCTTGTGACGAACTAATATGCAGAAAGTAGCGCATTTCAAAATTTTTAAATTATATGTGTGCATTTGTATGTCAGTGGATTACCCGAATTTGCAGTATAAATAAAAGTCTTCAAAAAGAAAAAAAGAAAAGAAAAAGAAAACTCGTGAAGCAAGTTTATATTTACGAGGACAGAGTTTAATACTATATGTATTTTAGAGCTATATTTTCTCAAAGTCCAAATTCTGTTGACAGAAAATCGAGTAAGCTTATTGGACGCAGTGAAAAGTATCTTAGCGGGGAATCCCTTTATTTACCACAAAGAGCTGACTGATATGAAACTCGAAGATTACTTCACCGAAATCAAAGAAAGGAATCACCCATTCTCATTACTGGCTTCTGCCAATACGTACATGGTACTTATAATTCTAAAAATATACAATTTATAGGCCTACAAATACTGTTCCATTACATTCATTTTCCAATGTAATCAATAAATACACTGTACATCTTTTGTATATTTATACGTAGAATATCATGTAATTTGCGATCCCTGTCCTTTGCATCTTTCAGCAGAAAATATAAGTTTAGGACTCACATGTTGCTTGGATCTAGTTATTTTGACTAAGCTTATACTATTATTTATTCATTCATTCTTCAGGAATGTTTGACAGCAACGAAAGAAGCAAAACGTTATCGATGTATGTATCAGTTTGCGACGAAAAACGTCGAAGCTATTCAAGTTTACACAAGACCAAGAGGGATTTTGCAGGGTGGTAGTCGATTCTGTTACAACCAGCAATCAAATGCTTTGTTTGAGTTCACTAGTGTTGCTAATTCGGACCCAACTAATATAGTTTCAACCAATAACATGTTCGTGATTTCCGACAAAATGACGTCAGGACAATACGGCGTAGTCTGCTTCGGTCAAGATGTTGCAGCCAGTTCTGATACGGTGTCAGTCATGGTCAGTTGCTTGCATTATAAACATTGCGTATAATGGGAAAATAATGATTTATTATTATAATAAAATGAATAGAAATTTTGTGTAAATTACAGGCTTTCTAGCAATCAATTCGAACACATTTTTTTTTACATACCGGAAGTCATTAAAATTGGCGAGAGCAAGAGAGAGAGAGAGAGAGAGTTACCTTTGCATCAAGACATTTGTCAAGAGTTTTTAATATAATGACATATTGATAGAAATATATTTTGTATATCTACATTTACATTCATTTTTGCAGATTTGTGGTAAATTACCGGGATTATGGCGAACTATGGTTCAGTCGTCTATGTTGACGAATTGGGGATGTCCAAATCATGGATTGGGAAAGAGAGAGGAAACAAAGCAAAACAGACATCTACAGAAACCAACACATCATGGAATTCCTTCTCCTCTCTCTCAGTCTGTGAGTGCACAAGCCAAGGTTCCAGAAGTGCGAAGGCTAAAACGTGACGTAACGTCAAAGAGGACCAATGAAAAACGTCAACCGCGCACCAAACGAGAGGAAAAACAACAAAAGCACAAGAGATCAAAAAGGGATACATCTCCTGAATCCAAGGAGGATACCAAGAAAGAATCATTTGATCATCCAAAGAAAAAGAAAGTTGATTTCAAAAAATCGGAAGATGGTCATGAAAAGTTTTTGAAATTTGAAGAAAAGGAAGATGCTGGGTAAAAAGTTTTGTAGGAAATCTCTGAAAGCATTATTTAAAAAAAATTATTGGCATAAAATTTAATTTGTTCTAAGTTAGGCAAAACCTGAATAAAATTTAATTTTCTTTCATTAATTCATTTCTAGAGAAGACAAATCATACGCAAAGTTAGAGCGTTACATGGAAATAAAAATGCCTGTTGAAAAACCATCCCAAGAAAAAGAGCCCCCCAAAACTGTCGTTAAAATTGCAACATTAGATGAACTTCAAAATGACGTAATAGAAAACAAGAATCAACTAATGGCTATTTTCTGTAGGAAAGGTATGTCATGAAAATTAAACTTATGATGGCAAAACGTTCAGAAAGTTTGAGTCTCGAAATTTCAAAATATGTACTTTTACCGTATATTTTTAAGATTTAAAGAAAACTAGAGTGTTACTTTTGTAATTCTTGTTACTCCTAATATACTTTTTTTCTATCCAACACAGGTTGTAGATTTTGTGCAGCTACAGAACCAAAGTTTCAAATGTTAATCGATCATTTCCAAAAAGAAGACGTGGACTTTTTCCATGTTGATGTCAGTGAGATAGAAATGCCTTATCAGTTAGATGTAGAGTGGACTCCCTTTGTAAGGCAAGTTGTACTACTGAATATTTTGAAATAATAACTAGGCATATAGTACATCAGTTTCCTGGGTTCATATGAAAATTCAAACAATGTTTATGTGATGATGGTGTCAGGAAGGGGGGGGGGGGGTTAAATGTTTATCTTAAGCTTAATTAAAACAATAGATTCAGAAAAATTATAGAGTGATATATTTTTAAATGTTGATTAGGTAAAATATAATACATTTCCATAATACAAAGATCGACCTTTCTTGTTAATAACAGATTTAAACCTAGAGGGGTAACTCAGCTGTTCCCGTACCACTGGGTGGACTTTGATGGAGAAGAGTACGACTTCCAAAGCATGTACCAATTCCTGGACAAACATGTGGAAAAGTCAGAAATATTCCATAATTCACCTTAAAAAATATGATTTAAATATCAATTTTGAGTTAATTTAAAATCACAAGAAACTTATTCTAGATATTGATTCATTGTTTTCCATTCCAGGATGGAGAAAAGTAGGAAAATGCCTGGAACCTCTGGAGAGTTACTATTTTAAAAGTGACACTTAGAAATACAAGAAAAATACATTTTTATATTGTTTTGATATTTGATACCAATTTTATTTTTTTTTTTAAATTGCAATTGATTTTTTTTTTGCAAGAATATATTTGTATTCCAACTTTCATTGTTGGGAATTTTAAGTAAGAAAATCAGTATTTGGTATATTTGTTAAAATTTTTCACAGTGAGAATAAATTTTGTTCACAAATACATGTCTGAATTTGAAAACAGAAATTACATGAATGTACATGTAAAAACATCTTAATCTTCTTTCTGAATATAATTTATACAGTGTGTGATTAACATTAATTAAAAAAGAATTATTAAAATTCTAACATTTTTTCCTCTGAATTCATTACTCAAGTTTAAAAATATGTAACTTAATTTTATTAATTTGCCTTTAGTAGTACTCACTAAAATAACTTGCTAAAATATCTCTGTTTATACAATGTACATTTATATTTGTAACAGAGGGTACACATTAAGATTAATAGTCTTAAATGCCATTTATTAAATGTTGATTAGAAAAAGAAAAAGATTGTATTTTCATAGAAGAAAAACCCTTTGATTACAATTTTTTTTCAGAAATTATGAAATTTTTAATCCTAATAAATTAGTTGTGACATTAAAAAGTACTAAAAAATATGGCTTTTGAAACCTCGAAACTACAATATTTCAAGTACTTTTCAATAAACACATAAAAATCTTCACTCAACTCCATTGAACACACTTGATAACAAATATAACAGTTATCCCAAAGTGGAAATATTGGGATATGTATATATATTTAAAAAAACATTGCACTATCACAGCTCATTCAACAATGAAACTCCTCACTGTCAACTTGCGGCAAAATTTCCAAAATTCGTTTTCAATGCTATGGTAGGTTTGGCTGGCAGCTGGCTCATCTTCTGTTGATTTGCCGCTGCCTCTTCTCTCTTCTTTTGCGAAGACAGCTGAGTCTGGCTGTGTTTGATTGCTAGCCCTAATTTTAATTTAAGGTCAGCATGTGACAACATGATGTTCTTAAACTGTTCTGGATATAGGGGCCCTAATTTGACTAGTCTTTGTAAACAGTCGTCATGGATTGCTTGGGTAGGTTTAGAGACGGAGGAGTATTTCTTCTCATCCACCAGGAAAGATACTAACACAGGAAGTAACAAAGAAAGCAGGGTCATCCCTGAAAGACCAAAAAGATACATACAATGCATTACATACAAGTATATTGCTATACATGTGAATTTTTTTTTTACGTCTGATACATATTTTTTTTTTTAGCAGTTGAAAGAAAAATTCCAATATAAAATTTCCTTCATATACATGTCTTGAAAACTTGTGGAAACCTGTACTGATTTTATTTTGCAAACATGCTGACTGTTATAGGAAAATGCAGCTATGGAAAGACAACTGTAAAATCACATATTTTTGTAGTTTGAGGAAAAATAGTTCTTTGTGGGGAATTAATTTCAAAGAATTTATGAGAATATATACAAATTTATGAGAAATATATATATATAAAATGAATTTATGTATCTCTTCATGCCTCGAAAACAAGAATTAGACTGAGGAATATTTGTGATATCACAGTAAGTGATCAGCTGCTTTCTCTTACTTTTGTCATCTTCAGCCTTGGCTACCAATACTTCTGCAAAGTTCAGAGAGGCAGTCACCAGTGCCTGCTGGGAATCTAGTCCAGATTTATCATCCTTTAATATAAGTAAATACTCCAAGAATTTGGCAGCTACCCCTCGTATGTACGGTGTTGCATCTTTGGTGTCCAACTTCTGTATCACAGAGGTAAACATCTGTAAACACTTCAGCTGAACCTGAAACAAAGTGTAAATCCATATAGCTAAAAAATTAAACCAACAATTAATAGCAACATTTTTATTCCCAATTTATCAGTATGGAATCCATCCATAACTGTTAATGTTCATGACTGAAACAATATTATGATTCACATGAAGAATATATAAGACTTGGGGAAAGCTATGAAACTTGCGTATATTGTTTCTGAAAAGTTGGTTTACAGTATTCTGATTATAAGCCATAATTTTTAATGTCTGCATTACCAATGTATCTATATTTCTGTTTGGTAAGTACCTCTGGACTTTTGGATTCCCAGCAATCCTTGAACATTGTGACACATTGCTTCTGAATAAAGGGAGTCTGTGCTATCTCCTTAGGGCCCCAAACTAAAAACATTGTCACTGTGGCAAGCAGAGTCACTTCATCCATACCAGGTTTGTCTTCACCTACAAAAAAATTAAAGACCTTAAAATACATATGGGAATAAGCTGAAGCTCTACAAAATTCCAACTGTTGTACCAGTACAATTTAAACAAAATTAAATTCTGCATGAGCTAATGGCTCATCAATGAAAATTCATAGATATCGGGGTAATACTTCCAACAATGAAACAAACAGATTTTGAAAATTTTAGAAGAGGAGGTACATGTATTCCCATACATGTGGGACTATATGCACATGCTGTTCAAAGAAGTTGATGAATATAAATAGATCGTAATATTTTGTCTTTATTTTCAAAACATTTCACGAAATTTCAATTAATGGTAGTACTTAAGGGATAAACTTTGTACTTGGCTTGGAATTTTGGAGCACAGTGACTAGAGCACTTCTGAGAAGTTCCCTCCATTTACTTCCTACTTCTTCATCCTCCAGAAATGAGGAGGAGCACAGAGTACGGAGGGCTGTCAGACAGGCCTGTACCAGGACGGGGGACTTCCTCTCGGCACCTTTATTGGACATCTCTCGTAAAACACCAGTGATGAGGAAAAGAATTGTAGGAAGAACTGAAGTGGAACCTGAAATTTATACATTATAGTGTATAACAATTCTGGAGTTCAGTCAAGAGGAAATGTTTCACAAGCCCATTATTTTCAATCAAATAAAATTTTGTCCACTCAAAAGCTTAGGTAGAACAATATACCAAATCTTTTATTATTCAACCCTAGAAAATTACAAAGTACATGTAATTTAAGACTTCATCTATGACTGACTACCTGTACACAAATATATATTTCTTTTGGATAGTAAAGTTTAAGGCAAAATTCTTCAGACTTAAAATATTTTTCTTAAGATTCATACTTCTCACTTACCATTTTTGGAACACATATTAGGAAGGTCTGCCAGAATAAGCACTATGGAAGCTACCAGTGAACAGTTTTCTTCTGACATTTTGGTGAGTCTTGTCGGGACCTGGAACCCAGTGCTGGGAGCTGAGGGGTTGAGGGCTGGAATCTGTCTAGATATCACACACAGACACACCTCTAACGCCGCATACACCACAGATTTCTCAGGAATAATGTCCCCCTCCTCCCCTCCATCTCCCATGGAGCCACTGTCTGAGGTATCCTCTGACTCAGAGCTGGTACTTGTTGGAGTGTCCAGTTCCTTTTCTAAAGAAAATAATTCAATTAAAAAAAGACAGTTACTATTGAAAGGCCCATAACTTTGAGATACCATAAACAATTAATTTCTGATGCTCGAAGAGTTTCTATTTGGATCCTTTAATTGTGTGTACAACGTACAATATAAATATATGTGATTTAACTCAAGTCGCAATCACAAATTATGTAGTTTGGAATATTTTTTCTTCTCCTGTAATTTTTTAGAAAAGCTACAACTGTAGTATTTGTGAGCAATTCCTGAGAATCTTATTTGCTGTTTCCTACCTTTAAGTTTTGTTCTGTCTTGTTGAAGGCAATCTTTGCCAGCTAGCAGCACAGCTTTGACTACTTTGACAGCTAAGAGCTGTGTGTACACATTTTCCTGGGTGAGGAATACTCTGAAAATACAGAAAGTTCTTAGCATTTTTTTCTCTCTACCTTTCTTTATCTGTCTACCATTAATATGCTCGCAAAAAATCTGATTTGCTCATATACATGTACATGTAATTCTCAGAAAAGTTTGAAACAAGGACATTTTCACTATGATTCGGATTTTGTAGTATGGGTGTAATCAACAAAATAACAAGAGGCCCATGGGCCACATCGCTCACCTGAACACTAAGGGTAGGAATAAGTAGAAAATGACTTTTTATTGTAAAGTTTAAATCCAAAAGTAGTCCCATGACCAATCATGGATTTGCTATTTTTTAGAAAATGATTTTTAAAGAATTTTCCTATTTATATCTTTAAAAACTTTGGTCGACCATTTTGGCTCCGCCCTACCCCTGGGGGTCATGATTTGAACAAATTTGAATCTACACTACTTGAGCATGCCTCCATATAAATATGATGAATGATGGCTTTGTCATTCTTGAGAAGAAGATGTTTAAAGAATTTTCCTATATATTTCTATGTAAAACTTTGGTCGGCCATTTTGGCCCCGCCCTACCCCCAGGGGTCATGATTTGAACAAACTTGAATCTACACTACCTGAGCATGCTTCCATATAAATATGATGAATTATGGCTTTGTCATTCTTGAGAAGAAGATGTTTAAAGAATTTTCATATATCTTTCTATGTAAAAGTTTGGTCGGCCATTTTGGCCCCTCCCTACCCTTGGGGGTCATGATTTGAACAAACTTGAAACTATACTACGTGAGCATGCTTCCATATATATATGATGAATTATGGCTGTGTCATTCTTGAGAAGAAGATTTTTAAAGAATATTCCTATATATTTCTATGTAAAAGTTTGATCGGCCATTATGGTCCCGCCCTTCCCCGGGGGGTCATGATTTGAACAAACTTGAATCTACACTACCTGAGCATGCTTCCATATAAATATGATGAATTATGGCTTTGTCATTCTTGGGAAGAAGATTTTTAAAGAATTTTCCTATGTATTTCTATGTAAAAGTTTGGTCGGCCATTTTGGCCCCGCCCTACCCCCAGGGGTCATGATTTGAACAAACTTGAATCTACACTACCTGAGCATGCTTCCATATAAATATGATGAATTATGGCTTTGTCATTCTTGAGAAGAAGATTTTTGAAGAATTTTCCTATATCTTTCTATGAAAAAATTTGGTCGGCCATTTTGGCCCCGCCCTACCCCGTGGGGTCATGATTTGAACAAATTTGAAACTACACTACCTGAGCATGCTTCCATATAAATATGATGAATTATGGCTTTGTCATTCTTGAGAAGAAGATGTTTAAAGAATTTTCCTATATATTTCTATGTAAAAGTTTGGTCGGCCATTTTGGCCCCACCCTACCCCTGGGGGTCATGATTTGAACAAACTTGAATCTACACTAACTGAGCATGCTTCCATATAAATATGATGAATTATGGCTTTGTCATTCTTGAGAAGAAGATTTTTAAAGAATATTCCTATATATTTCTATGTAAAACTTTGGTCGGCCATTTTGGCCCCGCCCTACCCCGAGGGGTCATGATTTGAACAAACTTGAATCTACACTACCTGAGGATGTTTCCCCATTAGTTTCATCTTTCCTGGCACATTGGTTCTTGAGAAGAAGATTTTTAAAATATGCCACCAAATTTTCATTAATTCTCAATTATCTCCCCTTGAATAAGGGCATGGCCCTTCATTTGAACAAACTTGAATCCCCTTCACCCAAGGATACTTTGTGGCAAGTTTGGTTGAAATTGGCCCAGCGGTTCTTGAGAAGAAGTCGAAAATGTGAAAAGTTTACAGACAGACAGGCGGACAGACGGACTGACAGACGGACTAACAGACGGACGCCGGACAAAATGTGATCAGAAAAGCTCACTTGAGCCTTCGGCTCAGGTGAGCTAACAAAAGATAAGTAGATGGATTTCATACCTGTGCATCACATTCAGAACTTCCTTGGACAGGATTGGGTCTGCCCCTATTTGTTGTTTTGGCCAATCAGAACTCAGAACTGCAGCCAGTGCTTTCAGAATGCCATTGACAGCATGTGTTGTCAGAACAGTCTGAGGATTGGACAAGGCTTCCACACAAATACCTGAAAGAACAGACAAACCTATCTTCAGATCAATTATCAAGAAAGTATATGTAACTCTTTAAATACTGTATATTTATTTAGTTTCTAATATTTTTATTACCCTGTTGTCAAAATAAAGGTAAAGAAGTGAGGTACCTTGCAAAATATTTGAGGACTGTGAATTAACAAGTAGGCCAAGTGCTTAATTTTTAAAGGGCAATTTCAGTTTGTATAAATTAAAACTTAAATTAAATTCTTCAACATTAAATCTATTTCCTACCCAGGATAAGATACAGTCTGTCTGAGTTGATCTCGTCCCTCTTCATGTTGGCTGGGGCATTCGCTGGGACACTGGAGTTTTTGTCACTCTCCTTGTTCATCTCTCCCACAGAGAAGCCTGTCTCATGGAGCCAGATGGCCAAAGCATGAAGGATCGGGGTCCAGCGCTTTTTGTAGTGAGGCTTAGCACTATCTATAGTGTCTGGGTGGTAAAACGTTCCCCCGTCTGATGGCAGCTGACTAGAATATTCTGTAGAAAAAATAGACGAAACTGAGTTAAAACTGAAAGTAGGATCAACTTTTCCGATGTGCAAATGAATACCATAAGGATAATTAATTCTGTGCATATACATGTAGTTACTGCAAACGAATTATTATTCACATCTTTTATTCACAATTCTTTGGTTTAGAAGGCATCCATGACTACTAATTTTTGAGACTGAGGCAAAATTCTGCACAAATATGCAAGTAAATAATTTGTTCACATCGAGAAATATTTCTGAGTAATACTTAGAGATATTTCTCACTCCTGAATAAAAGTTGGTTTACAGTATTTAATTCACAGCCTATTTTTACCTGTGGGGAGGGAGAGATATGCGTAGTCTCTGAGGGCTCCTAACCAGTTCTGACTGAGAGTGGGAAGTTCTGGCTGTACCAGGGACAGCAGACTCTCTCGGGAACTCTCACCATACTCATCCTCTTCCCTCGGGGGTTTAGTCTCTTTCTCATGCTCCCTCTCTACTGCCACAATATATACCTGAAATCAAAATCAATGCAACAGTTATTGCACTTGGTACTTTATGGCAACAATCATTTTTTTAAACTCTCTCCCCGTTTAAATTGCAAAAATGCTCAAACTACACTGTATTTACTTATTAAATTAAGGATTCGCATTTTATTTCAATTTTGTTTTAGATTTATTCAACTCCCTTTCCTATACAACAAGCAAAAATATGTATGGAGAGTCTATGATTAGATCATTTTTTGAAACTGCTAATGATAAAAAGTGATAATATTTTCCAGCACTCTGATTTTCTTTTTGAGAGATTGATAAAAAGTAAATCTGAGTATCCTGTCACAAGTCTTACCTCTGCCCAGGCTCCCAGCACAGCTAACTTCTCCATGGTAACAGCACTCTCATTGTACAAAGGAGACTGGGATTTCCCAGCATTCAATTTTGCGAGGGAGGACACCAGCAACTGGTGAACTCGACGGAGGTCATTGAGGTCACGAGCAACACCACTGCCAATCCATGTACTGCAAACCTGTTTGCAAATTGGAAATGCATTAAAAAACACACTGGCTATTGTAAAGTAGAGACAAACTGGGTAATGGGAAGAGTATACATGTATATCTTGACAAGGATATAGGGATGTTCTAGAGCGAATCTTACAAAAGGTAAAATTACTATAAAGTCCAAAACTACTTACATCACACGCAGCTGCTGTGACATCTGATGAAGTGTCAGGTGAAAAAGCTGGACGGAGGGCTGCACTAACCTAAATACAATAATT